TTTTGTTCTATGTAATTGTTTGTTTGGACTTATTTCATTTATTTTGTGTTATTCTTTCTTTTGTTCTTGTTTGTTGCATCTTCCACTTTACATCACTAATTACAAGTAATTCCTAATTGAGGCCATCTTATAATTTGGATTGAGGGAGAAATTTACTTTCACATCTTAGATGAGTACACGTACTCTTATTTAGTTAAGAAAGGAAGAATTTCAGAACGTATTGATTATACATTTATATTTGATTTAAATTGTATGTTTTATAATTGATTTATGGTACTCAATATGTTGTAAATAATAATATTTATCTACACAATAATTTTCATGTAATGTGGCATCAAATGCCAAATCTCATTGAATGTATATGTGATTTAATTTAATTTAGTGGTTTTTCATCTACTTAATTTTTTCTATTTGTTGAATTTATTGGTATTAGGTAAGATTTGGAGACTTAAGTAGAAAAATTCATTTTATTAAACATTCTTATCAAGTCAAATCTTGCATGTGATTTTAAAAGAGAGTAAATTTTTATTGTAAGATTTCATTTAGTTATGATGATTAGTCTTTTTAATAAAATTTTCAAAATTTATTCTATACAAAATTGCATTCTTTGATTTTTCCTTTGTGGTATAAAAGATAGCTAGACTTAGTAGTATTTAGAATTTCTATCTTTATTTGAGAGTGTCTTGATTGTACATTTGTATTTGATTCAAAATGCATACTTCATGATTAATTTATGACACTTAATTTGTTGTGAATAACAATTTCTATTTACATAATAGAGAGGATTGTTGCAACCCACTTCAAGATGGATTGTAGATCAAGATTTGAAAAAAAGAAAGAGCATCTATTTTAGAGTTTTTTTTTTTAATTTTTTAATATCATAATATAATAATATCTTAATTATTTATTATTTATTCTTTATATCATAATTATAATTTTTAAAAAATATCCTTTTAATTTTTTTAATATAATATCATTTTTTCTTTTGATATACTTGTTATCTATTTTTACTTCAAATTTCTTTTTACAAGCTGCTTCTAAAAATCATTGTCAACTTGGATGTTTTAGTATCTATTTCAAAAGAATCGTCAAGGTTTTTTATTTTTCATAAAAAATGACTTTAAAATAATAAAAAATAGATATTTTAAAATATATAGATATATATATATATATATATATATATATATATATATATAAGATTTTTTTCCATTATATCCTTGTATTTGATGTAGATAGATTTTAAAACAATATTCATATGTAAATTTTTGCATTTCTAATTTTATCTCTGTTTAGAAATTATATGCCTTCTATTTTTTAAGAAAATTTCAAGTTCTAATGGACATTCTTTCATAATTACAAGTCCATAATATTTAACAAAGCATGCATGTAATATAAGAAATGAGATGGTCAATCACAATTTTTTTTGAATTGGTTGTAAATAAATGTATAACTCTAAATATTAAAAGATAGATAATAAAAATTAAAAATTAAAAATTAAAAAAAAAAATGCAACAGTAGATTATTTTTGTTTCTAAGAAAATAAAATCTTAGATATTTTATTTTCTCTGTAATTCATATATACTGCAATAATTATTAATTATGTAATTATATTTTATAATTTCTTATGCATTATAGCATAAATATATATATATATATATATATATATATTGTAGGTGCTTTGAAAACTTTTTAACTACATATGTACTTACCACATTTTTAAAATATTTTTAAAATATATTAAATTTAAAATATATTAAAAAAATATTAGATAGTTTAGGATTTATAAAAACTAGAGTAAATTCTATCAGCAATAAAGTAGATATTTAAGAAATTAAGGACAAGATTATTTCAATATATTTCTAATATCATTGATTATAGATGGTCATATCAAATAGACCTTCTACTTATCATCTACTTGATGTACTTTTCATGTATATATGTATTTACTAATACTATGCTATTATAAGTGGATCTTAGAAATCTAATATATATACACAATAGTTTTTTAACTTAATCACATATAATAGTAGAAGTTACAGCATAGAACTATTTTTTGCAATAATAGTTATTATCAAGTTGAATAAATTCACACACCAACATAATATAAGTAACATCTATAATGCCAATAACCCATCAAAAGATGCTTATAATTTTAATATGACTTGCTAGAATACATATTTATGTTGCACTTTTTCATATCATTAGTTCGTTTTTTATAGATAAATTTTTAATAATTACTTGATTCCTAAACAAGATTATTATGATTTTTCCAATACCAAATACTTTTGCAATTAATTGTTAAGAAGCACTAATTGAAATTTAATTGGCATTTTTTTAACATATTCACACAAATTTGTAAAAATGAAATAGTTTCTAAAATTATTTTAAAGTCTAAAAATAACTTCTTGAAGAAAAGTATAATTATTTCCAAGATATAATTTAAAAATAAGATATCAAAATATTAAATATTATTAAAAACTAAGTTTTTTAATATTAAGTTTGTTTGCAACATATGTTGTCTACATCATAAATAATTATATGTAGTTCATGTGTACCACCTAATTTTGATTATTTGCAATGTATGTATATTTTAAGAATTAAATTTAATTAATTGAAACATATATTTTTATTGCTATGTATATTGTTATTACTTATGATTGATAAAGAATCCACAGTATTAATGTTTTCATTTACAATAAGTAAATTATTGACATTAAACTCATTTAAAAAATATATATGTTGTTATAATACAATTGCAACAATGAAATACAAAAGTGTATCCTTGCATATGAGGCGTAATAATGTGATTTTTATATTTACTACCAAACATTCTACCATAATTTATATAAATAAATATTATAAAATATTTAATTAAAAATTTTAAAAAATAAAAAATAATCTCTAACATATTTTAAATGCATATTTTTACAAAAATTCCAAATGTAATTGTATTTTTTTAATATTATTAATATAAGTTAAACTAATATATTATTTTTATATTTTTAGCAAATTTATACATGACTTAAAAGTACAATAAAAAAAATTAAAAATTAAAAGATTAAAAGATTAAAAAACTAGCCTACATAGGTGGTAGCCATACTTTATCTACAAAGTCAACAAAAACAAACAAAAAATAAATAAAATAAAAAATATTTTTAAATGAAAAAAATCATACATATATATATATATATATATATCAAAAAAATTATAAAACCAAAATTAAAACTACTACAATATTAGGCACAAATAATTTATATATATATATATATATATATATATATATATATGTATATGAAAATAAAAGCCATATTGAACCAATTAAGATAGGAATCTTTAATATATGTTGAAATATTACAGTAGAATTACAAAAACTACAAAATTACCTATATTGTAAAAGCTCTACACACTATAACTATATTTTTAAATAATACTTTATAAGTTTAATATAGTAAGAAAGTATTACATACAAATGTGAATTTTCTTTTTATTGATAAGTAGAATGCCTACGTACATCCTCACATGTCTATATCAATTGTACTCATAAAAAATACATATAAAGAAGTTTATATGTATTACTTTATAAATACACCATAAAAATATATTTTATTAAAATATTTCTCTAAATTTTCAATTACAACAAGTGATATTTTTTTAATATATTAAAACAAAGTAATAAATGTTAAATGGATGATAGTACATCTACAAATTATTTGAGTTGAAAAAAAATTGGTATAGAACTCTTATTGAAGTTAGTTATGCAAAAAATAAAAGAAATTATTTTTTTAATTATAAAATATCAGTACAGAAATTTTAATTGCCAACTACAACCTTATGTAACAATCAACCATTATTATTACAATAACAACTAATGAAACACAATAACAACCAAAACAACAAGCTTTATGATTAAAAAAATGGTCTATACGATATCATTGGTACTTCCCTCATAACAAAAATAAAGGCATACTTGTAGAATGAATTGTTCAATTCTAATTTCTAAGAATAGAATAAAAGTATTACTTTAAAGATAAGGCACAGTTTGACATTGATGCTTTACAAGTGGTGCAATTGAAGGTATTTTTGTCAAATGAATTCTGCAATTCTAACCTCTTATGATACAACACTAACGTTGCATTTGAAATTCTAACACTAACACAATATATCGTAGTTATTTTGCAAATGATACAATTAAAGACAAATTTATTGAATGAATTTCTAAATTCAAAGCTCTGGTAGAACATAAATACCACTTCTGTAAATAGACCATAGCATGTTGTCTCTTCTTTGTATACGTTAAAAATATGAATTGGAAAGCATGTGTTTAAAATAATTAAATAAACAAATAAAAGGTTTAACTTAATCATCATAGCAGCCTAGTTTAAAAGCTGCACCTAATTGGTGAGTAATGGTGGGACGTTTGTGGTGGCACTGTTGGATACCAATTACAGTCCCCTTATAAGTAAGTTTTCTTTTGCTTCCTCTGCTCATAATATCAAATCAAACTTTGTTAATTCAAGATCAACAGGTTCTCCAATGCTTTACAAAATAATCCAATGAAGTAAAAATGCGGTTCAATTGTAGCTCCTTTACACTCTTTACTAAGAGTAGATTGAGCGAGACTACGAGTTGCACGGACAGTCACAACTATGAAAACTCAGATATTCCTTACAAATTATGAAGTACTAATGATGCAAGAATTACGTTAACGTTCAAAGTAACACAGAAATTGAAACATTCGTGCTCCAGACTAACTGGTGTGCTTGCTTTCGACCGATACGTGATACGCTCCAAAAACTATTGACACATAAATGACTAACATAAATCTATTGTAGCATCAGAGTATTTGCACTGACCTAAATAGCAGAGTTTATCACATTCTCTGCCAAGGAAGTCCAAAACACGCACCAAAAACAATTCTGATTGTACCCCAAGTCAGCAACGAAATCAATCTTTAGAAGGTTTTGCTATCAAAAATGGAAAACCATTATACTCCCAAGCACTGATGGACCTTCCAAAACAGAAGTTTAGAATTGAACAGTCGCAGTAGAAGACTGCAAACATTTTATGCTGAAAAGCATTGCCTCCAACCCTTGGGTACCAGAGGTTGATTAGTACAGAACTATTCCGCTCTATGCTGGACCAGACTTAAGAAGTGACCTTTGTTTCAAGACGATGTACAGAAGAAAATCGCTTGAGTACTTGCTCCAAAGTACTCAAATAAAACCTAATTTGTTACCAAGAAATGTAACGTCCTGAGTGACTCTCGAAACTATGAGGATAACTAATGATGAAGACTGAAGAGACTTTATACAGGAGAAATGACGAGCCAACAAACCATGTGCTTCAAAAGAAGCAAACTCGTACATCCTTGATGCATTAGTCAAGTACACAGCCCTCACGATCAGAACTAAGAATTTCTAATCAACAAAGCCTCAGGTTTCATAAGACAATGTAGTTTTTCTCATCATTATCAGGAAATGACGTACTCTGCATGTGATGCAGCAAGAAGAGCTGCTCCAATGCCTGATCCGTCTTTAGAAAGCTCAATGACGACGTTCTTAGATCCTTCTCCTAGGAGCTCGACCACAGCTTCTTGCATGTAGTTTCGAAACTTGGTGTAGTGTTCATACAAACCACCGTCCATAGCCACAACAGTTCTGCCGCCCGATGTGTAATGCACAGGAACTTCGTCATGAAAACCATTCATATCACTCTGTTCGAAGGTATTCCGCTTAATAACACCATTTGCCGCACTTCCATCTCTTCCAATTTTCTTCAATATTCCCACAATGCCAGCAGCAGCTAGTCTTGCCCCTCGCTGGCACACCGTATCACAAACTGCAACAACGATTTTGCGGATTCCTACTGTAGTGTTCTGGATCTGCAGCAAGAGAGGCGTAGAATCTATCGTCATGATTCCATCACCCAATTTCAAATGACGAGTCCACAAGTAAACGCAGTTCTAAGACAAGGTGACAAGAAAGATTCTCGTACCCCGTAAACTCTTTTCAGAACTTCAGCAACCACCTTTAAATCAGAACTATCATCATGATGCATTTTCGACATGTCTGGAGTCCTGCGAAAAAAACCACACCTCCATTAAGATCTGACGTAGGCTTATTCCAACCCGCAGACTGCTACACAGAGAAATCCAAGTCTTAAATGGATAAAAGGGAAAAACATGAGTTTTGAAGAAAATAACATACATAAGAGAAAATGCTTCCAAAAGCTTGTGTGGGACAGGGGTGCCAAAAATGCAGGCTTCTTGTGCCATTCTAACAAGCACGCGCCTCACACAATCACCCAAATACATTCCAGAGATCATTTTCTCGAAACCCTGCAATCAAAAGCAACTATGTTAAACTTTGTTCAAACGAAGAGGTCACATAGCAACAACTCAAGTAGGCAGGGCAGAAGTAATTTACATATTCTCCTGGATTCAAACTCTCGTTGTCCAATGACTCATCCACATAGGTCCGAGGCAAGTGAGATGACCAGAAATTCCCCCACTCCATGTTTATAACCTGTCAATAGTCATATGCTACAAATTAGATGCTATATTACAACAAAGCCACTAATTATATTCATCACCCAATATCAAATCAAAATCGTGATCAAAATTTTGATTTCTTTTAAAAGTTAAAATTAAAATTAAAAGTAGATAAATAGAAAGAAGAATAGAAATTGCGGCTTCTAGATTAACTTACAACTCCCCTAATTATAATTACTACAAAATATTAAAATAATTTTTTTATATTTAACTTGAGAACGAAAGAAACGTTTACTAAATCCAATTTTTATGTATACAACACTTTACATGCAACAGCTGATTTAAAAAAATATATTCTTACTAACCATCTCCCCGGACTTTGGAATGTCGCCAGCCCACTTCGATACAGCTTCAGCTCTCTCCACATAGCAGGCGTTGGTCCCAGTACCCAAGATAACACCTATCATTACGTCATTGTTCCAATACCGTCCGCCAGCTAGGGTTCCTACGGTATCGTTGACCTGCACAATATGCTCCGCACGTGAGCTACTCGAACAGTCAAAGTTCTTCAAAAACAATGTAGTAACTTTTCTTAATTCCACTTATATTTAAAATCCATCGATACAACGACAAATCAAGTCTCTACATTTTATAGTCAATTTGAGCTTAAATCAAGCAAATCGAAACAATCTTTACCATTGAAGGTACCAAATGCATTCAGGATAAAGCATAATATTTGATTGATCGCAAATTGTGCTCACAATCGTTAAACGCCCGATGTTCGTTTAATTGTACACTGTCAACATGTACACGAGCTTCACACATGAATTGGAATTCAGCAGAACAAAAAGAATGACGTTACCAAAGCAGCAATCCTCATCTTGTACCCTCTTCGCTCAATACCCCTCTGAAGCGCTGCAACTACATCCTCGCCAACCTGTTAATTCGAGCAAACCAAAACACATTTCACATCAATTCAAATTTTACACCCTAAAACTACATATACGAGACCTACATGTCCTTTTAAAATACCTAACCCATATCCTTCAAACTCTGATAAAGCTAACCTGAATGAAGACTTTGCTTATATATCCACGGCAAAGAAATGTGAAATATTTAGAAGAAGAAGGGAAGAAAGAAAACGAAAAAGAATAAGAAAAACTCGATAAAATGATTGGTGAGAAACCGTACAGCATCGTTCACTTTGAACCCTTTAGTCCACTGCAGAAGAGTGCCAGAGTTCACTGCAGTTTGCTTCACGGGGAATGAAAAAGTAAATCCTATTTCTCGATTTTGACCAGCATGCAATCTGAAGTCCTGACCTTCCCTTGCTACAAAACTCACCAACTCCTTGGCAATGAAATCAAACAACTGTTCACTTGTTCCAAGCATGAGCTCAGGAGGAATAGCCACTTCCTCATACTCTTGTTTGATCACCCTACCCTCCAGTCCACCCAATTGAACGCGGAGTACTCGGAAGTTGGTACCACCCAAATCCACAGCATAGTATAGACCCCTCTCATGCCTGTTCAGAGCCCACTAAACGTAAGCTTACTAGAAAGCTGCCGGGATACGCAATAGTTAGAGTGATTTTTAAATAAATAGAAGAAAATAAAATTCGAGTATCTGGTAAGCAACGCTAAATTGCAGTTGTTAAATTCCCACAAAAAATTAAAGCCACAGCTGCACTCTATCCGAGATTATGGGCCTCCAAAAAATGCACGTCGAACGAAAGCTCAGTGTCTCAGCTGTAAAATAATTAATAATTTTTACTTAATTTTTTGAGGATTGGCATGAAAATTATGCTCCATGAGATTCGCTACAACTTCGTTCACAATTAGGTCAAAAGTTGACTAATAGGCAATTTCAAGATGAGACGCCTTTTTTTTGTTCAACATTCTCATTTTCAAAAAAAAACTGAGAAAAAAACTAAAATCGCTCTAGATCTCAACAATCCAGCAGTACTAAATACAATTTATACTAACTCAAAGAAGAATTAGGACTCGTACAAAAAATCTCAAGTGTAGCACTTCAATGCGTTACATAATTTAAAGAAACTCGAAACAGCAGCCGTTCACAGTATACCAGTTACCCAGATGATGAAGAAAATAATAGTAATAATAATAAACGGCCAAAAATTAATTGGCAACGAACAGATAAAAATCGGACTTAAATAGGAAGCTATTAACTGCAAAATCAATCAATCAATCAATCAATCAATCAATAATCCCAAACCATACGATCGGGATATATTCACTCAGTATAAGTGCTCCGAACAATCGGTCACGCTAAGTTAAAGCAGTGAAACAATTGACCACTAGTGCAAATGAGTGAAGAAGACAAGAATAAATAAATTATAAATATAATAAATATAAAGATAATCAAATACAATTGAAGCAAATTACTAAAACAAAAACAAAAGAAGCGAAACACAACAACTTGCGCAAAACCTCAGATAAAATACACGACGACAACACAGCGATTCAGTTCGTTGATACCACTACAACATTGCTCGATTGCCAACGAGCACAGAATCGCCAGGCACTACTTGATCTCAAGTGCAACTCATTACTAAGCGGGTCCGCGATAAGTCGGACCTAAAAGATTAAATTTCAAATCATTCTACAACAGAAGACGAATAGATCTCACAATAACAACGCATAAAAACTTGAATCTCGCGCAAGATGCGAAGAATTCTTAGAAACAGAGAGAACCAAAAGTAGCATCAGTTACTGCATTGGTGTACAAGTCAAACAGAGGAGTTCAAAGAAAAAGACACAAAAAAGTAAAATAGATGAGGTGGGCTCTTTGAAGCAATTATCGAAAATTTACCCGTCAGGCAAGCGATCAATGTAGGTGGGAAGCATCTTAAGTTTGCTTCCACCTTCCGAAACAAGACCAGCGTGCATCTCGACCGCCATAGCATCCACCACCTGGCGCAGGCGCGCCAAAGGCGTGTAACAGGCCTCCTGAAACTCCAGCAGAATTTTCCGCGCAGTGCATTTCTGTGATCGAACCTTCAAGCGCCGTGATACAATCACAGCCGCAGCAGCGCACGCCGCAGCTGCGCAGGCGATGTACACGCCCGTCATTACCTTCGATTGTGTCATTTTTCCTCTCCTCTGTCTCTACCCCTCCCTCTCTCTCACACACACACAAATAAAAATAAAAGCTCACTTTCTTCGCCTCCTCACCTCTTCTAAAAAGTCTCGCAATCAATCAATCAATCAATCAATCAATGACCTCCTTCCTCCGAAATCACTCCTCTCCCTCTACAAATAATTTTCCTCCCCCTCACCGCTCCGAATTTTCCCTGTCCGAATCTGAGCTCCGCTGCTGTACCTCGCCTTGAACGCATCCGCCATGGCCAGGCGCCACTCACATTGCCATCAATCGGTTCCAATCCCTTCCTTCCGGCTCTCAATCTCGTGAAGGTTGGAATGCTTCCAGCACGCTTCACTTCCAAGCACAGAAGCACACACACACATACATGCACGCCCACACACACACTCTTTGCTATAAAACTCATGAGCAGCGGCCTACTCATCTCAAAGCCCCTTGCACCAAGACAGGAAATATATTCATCCATCCAACAACATCCTCTATCCATCCAATCGAGTTTCCACTTTTTATAGAATCGTGGAGAATCATCCGATCCGGTCTGCCCGCGTCCAATGTCTTGCCAGCAGGAGGGGAACGCAGAGCACGGGGCCTGATGATCCGCTTGCCACCTAATTCGGACGGGCAGTTTGGGAAATCTGCCGATATCCATCCGTCATTCGTTAAGACAGTTGATGCTCTTAAATATCATCCGGTTATCTGTTCATCCAACAACGACATTCGTCAGTCAATTTGCATGGGGGATAGGATGGAAGTGGAATCCTAGTTGCATGCTTGCTTGGATAATATTGATCTTATCTACGAAAGTGAAAAACGTAACTGATTATAACCAAGTGAACTCGGAGTTAATGCCAATATTATCTATCCTTTCCCGTTTCTCGTTTTCGCCGCATGGATCGTGGGTTTTTGTTATCATCTTGAGAGTGGTAGTTCAGGTGAAACATTAGCTTCACTGTAGGGCATTTTGAAGGGGAACCTGAAGGATGGGTATGGAAAAGGGCCTCTGATAATGAGGGGAAAATATTTTGGTGGTGGATCTTCATGTAATCTGTCCTGAAGGATAAATTCCCTAAAATCACATCTTTCGCTTCAGTCATCCCTACATTACGTTTTGACACTTCCTATTGGAGTGTGTCATAACGCACATGCACATTTAAATGGCTGAACTTTATTATAAATATATATATATATATATATATATATATATATAAAGAATAAGGCGATATATTACGTAGTCCTCTCCTCAAATTACAACATGAATGCACAGACATATATATAGATATTTTGAAAAATGTGAGGAGATTCAAAACAATCCGTGGAAAATCACCCTGACTGTTTTGAATCTATTGTCACGCAGCTTGAAGCAGAGAGTCTAGAGTGAGGGAGGGTTCCCAACAGCCTGACATCGCTGTCAAGGGCGGAAGGCATTGATCGACACCGGTCAGTGTTGGTTAGAATGAGATCAGTGGTCGGCATTGATTCCCAGAATATGACCTTGGAATGGTCAATCTTATTTTCTTTTCGTAATTAAAAAAAAGTCTTTTGCACAAGGCTGTTCATATGCTAAAACGATAGCTACGCATCACGGAATGCTCAATTTGTATGGGAAAATTCGCAGTACGCGTCCACTTGTCTCCCCACGCTGCAATAATAGCTTCAATTTCTAGGGTTAGGGCTGAAACTCAGCTTCCTGCCTCCGAACCAACCCCGCCTTAATATAGCCAAAATCAGTTACGCCCACGACATTTCAAAGGAGAAAATCATCTCGTTAGCAGCATCGCGGGATTCCCCACGGTTCTGTCCCTCTAGGTTTTATGTATACAGCAAAGTGCACGCCCATTCGAGCTCAATCTGTCGACCGATTCCATGGGCACTTGGAGGAACAAGGTGAGAAGCCACTTGACGTGGCGGGTGGGGAAGAGGCAAACTGGAAGTAACGTGAAGGAGTAGTTGTGTGTTGGGGCGGGGGGGGGGTGGGGGGGGGACGGTGCTTCGGAACGGCGCGTGGATAATACGAACAAACACTACGGTAACGTGAGAATGGGTTTGCGGCGGTGCACCATACTGGGCTGCAACCCGGCCCATGCCCCAGCCACGCACTCCTCGAGATCGCCGGCACGCATGGCACCCTTTAGCTTGGAATGAGATTGTATGGAGAAAAATGAACACAATGCGTGCAATCGAAGTTGTGACAAAAACCAATTTTGCTTTGCCTCAGCTTTTACTTACTTTGGAAAGTGTGTGATGTCAATCCATTGTGAGAACAGTTCCGTCCTTAATGTCCCACGCACCCATCCATAGCTGTCATTGTGACTTCTCTTTCTCTGTGTCTCTCTTTTCTGGAGAATATGCTGGAAAAAATATTAAGTCCATCCTCTTGCCTGCATGGAGTCTACAACACAGGGGAATCTGGAGGTATCTTTTGGAAAAAAATATTTTTAAAAAAACAATGTATGGATATACATGTATATATATATATATATATATATATATATATTTATTGTAGACCAAATGGCAACTTCAGTTTGCAGTTGATCTACAACAATCACCACTGCTTCCAGTCTCACAGATTGTTGATGGCTTTGAAGCATTCCATGCAAACTGATTTGTATTATTATTAGTAATGTTATTATTAGTATTGTTTTTTTCTTGTGTGTTTGGGTATCAGTGCTGCAATTGGTTTGACTTTTCTTTTTTTTCCCTTTCCGTTTTTTAATGTTTTTTGTGTTACTGTTATCTATTTTTTACTTTGATGGAATTTCTTTTTTGTCCTGTTGCTGTTATGTTTCTTTTTTATTGGTTTGGTTTTTGCTCATGTAGTGATGTGTTGCCTGTGTTTCTATCCCAATGAGACGCTTACAACTTGGGTGATCTCTTGCAGACACATGGGCATGTGTGCTCGTGTGTTTCTGTCTGTGTATATAAATAGGTCTTCACATCATTTGAAGATTAATGTGGAGGAATGTCTAAAACAATTTAAAAGAGGCTTAAATATTTGAAGTCTATTTTCCATTATTTGAATTTTATTTATTTAATTATTGTTTGTTTGTATTGTTCTGGCTTCCCTCCCTCCCTCTCTCTTAATGATACAAGTCGTAGACCCACTCATGCCAAATTGAGATGGATTTTTTTACATGATTTTGAAGAAATGAGCCATGATATAATATTATTTTAAAGATATACTTGGATTTTAATATTATTGAATTCTAAAGACATGTTTTGTACAATTTCAACACATGCATTGTTCATCTACCAATACATTCTTCCATTGTACAAACATCCAAGGTTTGGGTCATGGCATTACACTGCTCATGAAGCATGATTCTTCACAATACATTTGACTTTTTAATAATAATAACATATTATATTTATTTTCCATAGTGTCAATTTTCATTAAAATTCCATTGAAAACTGACATTAGAATAGAATGGGAAGTACCAAAAAGTAAAGAAAATCACGTGACACCATAGAAGATGTTTGTGTGCAAAACTTGATCTCTTGACCACAAAAAGCAACATTTTTTAGAATTATATTCGCAGTGATGGAAAAAAAGGTAGTAAAGCAATCAAGCGCATAGGGGATGGGGGCTGAGCTGGCATGCTGAGCTGGCAATCATGTTTGTGGAAAGGAGAAAAAGGTGTCTCAGAAGGCCATTAAGAAGTCAAAAAGCGCACCAGTATATACTTTTCCTTTCCAGTCTAACTTCTTGCAATAGGACATGGTCTAATTCACAATGACAGGCATTATTTGTTTATTTATTTATTTATTTATTCCTTTCCCTGGCAGATCCACAAATGACCCCCCAAAAAGTAGTTTAGAAGTAAAAAGATTACACGCCTTATCATGAGTATACACAAAAAGGTATTCACTCATGGCATGCCCTAGAAATGGGTTGCAGTTTCATCCACGTGCATTGTCTGACAAAGGCTTTGATATATTTATTTGATATATACTCAACATTCATTGTTTTTCTTTAAAAACTTAAAAAAAAATTGTGGGTTCTTTTTCTTTTTATTTTCGTAACAAATATCTGATACCATGGGAAAAGGAACACGGTGTGAGATCCTTTATGCTCTTAGGCTGCTACTTTTTTTTCCCTTCTTCTGTTGCTACATGAACTGGAGGGAATGTAGTGGTAGATATTTTGGTTGATGCCCTATTTTGTTATTAAAAAAATAGTTCATGATCTTATGAATCTGGAAGAGCAAGTGGCACATGTATTGTACCAAATGAATGTGGGTTCTATTCACAACTACAACCAACAAAGGACTTGCAAGTGGGTTTTTATGTGGATCAAAACTTAGTTCCATTTGCTGTACATCATTCTGTACAAGTACATGAATATATATATATATATATATATGTACAAACACACTCATACAAACGTATGTACTATGGAAATATGATATATTTTTCATTCCAGCATATAGTAAATAAAATAGAGTGACAAAAAAAAACAACACTCTTTATTTTTATTTATTTATTTTAAATTTATAGAACTTATTTTTCATGTAAGTAGTAATGTATCTATTACATAGAGTTTGAGCCATAACATTTATTTTTATTTTTATTTTTTGATTTAACAGTTATGTAGTTCAAAGCTTATCAATTTCGTTACTTTGTTATTGTTGATATCAGTCTATCACAAGTAACACAAATGGTACAGTTTGGTTAGTTATAAATTGATTAAACTGTAGATATTAACGAGTAAATAAATAAAAATTAAAGTCTTTATTAAAAAACAATAAGTAGACATCAAGATTCCTAGAGTCTAATTTTTTTTCAATCTCACAACTATTGTATAAAGTAGATTTAAGGGATATATTTCTGAGTAGTTTGTAAAAAATATAAATGATATATGTATGTATGTGTATGTATGTATATATATATATATATATATATATATATACTTTTTTAATGCATAGCTTTGGCAAATTGGCATGCATGTGTTTATATATATAAATAAAATATAAGCTATATATATATATATATATATATATATTAATTGATACATAGCTTTGACAAATTGAGTAATCTCACATAAATGGGATGTTTGAAGATTTTTGTAAAATATTAGGATTTATTAAAAAATAATATTATATATAATTTTTTCTACAATTCTAATATACAATGCATGTTTATTGCCTCACGAAGTAGAATTGAATAGAAATTTAATCTAGCAATTGTATTGAATAAGAAATAAAACATTCCAACTAAGTAAATTGTATTATTTGCAATATTATACAATTCATTCAAACACTATGTGTAATAGATTTTATTATTATTATAACAATGATAATTATTATCATTATAAAAGAAGGATTCACAACATTGATTATTTGTAATATTGAATGTATTTCAAAATTATGTTATATTATACTATGCCTCAATCTTATTGTTG